ACCGAGACCCGTCACCCTGACTCTACGTGAGACACACCGCCGGGACTCACCATGGTGAGTGCGGTCCCACCAGGGTCGCGCCCGTTCCCTAGCTGTCCCTCTCCTTGTGAAGAACCTTCCTCCAGGGATGCTCAGGACCTTCCACCCAGCATTCAGGTTCTCTAGGAGAAGCAAAGGTTGTACACTCCCTTCTTAGTGACTTTGGCCTGGTGTGTTGTCCGCCTTTGGGAGCTGGGGTGGGGGTGGGGGAATTCTTCACTTGCAGAGCGGAGCTCTCCTGCTAATCCCCTCTGCCCTCCTAAGCGTCTGTACCCAGCCCTCCTGGGCGGGGGAGGGGGGTGTCACGCGGCCTGGCGCCCCATGCCTTCTGCCAGAGGAGGAAGACCCGCTTGGATGCCCCCATCCGTACCCCTAGCAGTCCCTGGAATCGACCGAACACGTGCTTGGCACAGAAGGTGGAAGGGGGTCAGTTTACTTGGTGCCGCATCCCCTTTTCCTGTGCGTGTTCGTTACTCCCACCCACAGCACCCCCCCCCGTGACTCAGCACCCCGCTTCTGAGCCGGGAGAGGTGGCGGGAATGGGGTTCAGTCTCATGAGGCAAGCTGGCCCCATCCTGCGGGTATGCAGAGGACAGGCAGAGACAGCTGGCGCTGAGCGACAGCGCGGGCCGAGGCCAGGTTTGGGGGAGGGGAAGAGGTGTGTGTAGGGGGGTGGTATTTATAGCCCAGGAGCGGGGGCCGAAACCCAATCCCAGTTTTCGGCTGGGATGCATCTGAAAAGGTTCCAGAGGAGAGAAGATGTAGGCCCCGGGTGCAGGAAGGCACTTACCTTGGCGGGGCAAGGCGCGTTACCTCTGGGGCCTTACCGCAGGTTCCGCTTCCTTTTTTGGGTTTGGAAACCATCACTGTGCCTTTTCGTTGTGGGAAGGGAGGCGCACTGTCCTGCGGACTCTCGTGCTGCAGGGGTTAATTTCGGACTGGCAGGGACGTAGCCTAAGGCAGGGAGCGTCCCAGGGCCCACAACCTCTCACTGCCAGCCCTGCCGTCTGCGGTTACCAGCATTAGCCCTATTTCTGTGGAGGGTGGCACGGTGGAATGAAGGTGGTAAAACACTGCAGAGTGTGGGGGTGGAGAGGGGGAGCCAGATGGGATTGATCCCCAGCGGCAGATAGGATTTAAAGGTGGGGGGAGAGGGCATCCTGATAACCAGTGCAGTCAGCTGATGCCAGATGGGAAAGCTGACATCTCTTCACTCACAGGAATGAAGGGGAGAAGGTTATAAAAAATTGTAGTTATTCATAAAAGAATCAAGTGGGGAGGCCTATGGCTACAAACTGGAAAATCTGCCTCTTCTTGGCTGGGTGTGTGGGCTGCAGGATTAGGAGCAGCTGGAAAGTCTCTTCTCTCCTGAGTTACTGCAGTGTCTGCCCGTCTCATACGCATGTGCCCTCTCTGTCCTCCCTGAGTGCCCTGTGAATGTGGCCGGGCCATGAGCAGCCACAGCTCTCACTTGACAAATTCCCCACTGGGAAGTAGGCTAAGGGATTGGCCTGCCCTACTGGGTACCTCTTCCTGTGCAAGGGAGCTTGGGGAAGCTGCCAGCTTCCTCTCAACTCTGCCAGCTTGAAGCTCCCCTCTTGCCAACTGAGTCATCCTAGCTGGTAGATGATAAAGTGGGAGAGAGGCTCATAAGGGAGGTACTTCTGGATGTGGCACTTATGCTGTGACCCCTCTATCCCTCAGCGTGAATGCATCTCAGTCCATGTGGGGCAGGCAGGTGTCCAGATGGGCAATGCCTGCTGGGAGCTCTACTGCCTGGAACATGGGATCCAACCTGATGGGCAGATGCCCAGTGACAAGACCATTGGTGGAGGGGACGACTCCTTCACAACCTTCTTCTGTGAAACTGGTGCTGGAAAACATGTGCCCCGGGCTGTTTTTGTGGATCTGGAACCCACTGTAATTGGTGAGCAGAAAAAAGGGCAAATTTGAGGGAGGTGGATAGTCTGGGGAGAAGGTACCTAGACTTGGCTTTCTGGCTCTAAAACTCCTAGCCCTATCCAAAGATAAAGAAGGGAAGTTGATCTCAGCTTGGCATGGGCCACAGCAGGTCTGGGTTTCTCCCACACATATCTCAGGCTGGCAGAAGGATGAGCTAGCTCTTCTGTATATCTGGCAGCAGATAGCACCCTGGAGGGAGGAAGGTCCCTGCTGAGTACAGCCTTGTGGTTTTTGCCCAGCAGTGTGGTTTATACTCTTCCAGATGAGATCCGAAATGGCCCATATCGGCAGCTCTTCCACCCAGAGCAGCTCATCACTGGGAAAGAAGATGCTGCTAACAATTATGCCCGTGGCCACTATACCATTGGCAAGGAGATCATCGACCCTGTGCTGGATCGGATCCGCAAACTGGTGAGAATTTAGTATAGAAGGAAAGGAGCATTTTAGATTAAACAAATGGCCAGGGAAAAGCTTTTTTTGAGATCCATTTCAGAAGATCATCTCTAGCTATGTGTTCAATAATATGACACTACTGTGAGATACTCACTAATCCTGGCCCCTAACTTTCAAGATATTTGAATGTTCATGGAGCTAGGAAAGTTCCTCAGCTATCCACTCACACTCCACCCCTGCCACATGGCTCTTTCTCTTTCTTGCCTTTCAGTCTGACCAGTGCACAGGACTTCAGGGCTTCCTGGTATTCCACAGCTTTGGAGGGGGCACTGGCTCTGGCTTTACCTCCCTCCTGATGGAGCGGCTTTCTGTTGACTATGGCAAGAAATCCAAGCTGGAGTTCTCCATCTATCCAGCCCCCCAGGTGTCCACAGCTGTGGTTGAGCCCTACAACTCCATCCTGACCACCCACACCACCCTGGAGCACTCAGACTGTGCCTTCATGGTGGACAACGAAGCCATCTATGACATCTGCCGCCGCAACCTGGACATCGAGCGCCCGACCTACACCAACCTCAACCGTCTCATCAGCCAGATTGTCTCCTCCATCACTGCCTCCCTGCGTTTTGATGGGGCCCTCAACGTGGACCTGACGGAGTTCCAGACCAACCTGGTGCCCTATCCTCGCATCCACTTCCCCCTGGCCACCTATGCACCAGTCATCTCGGCAGAGAAGGCCTACCATGAGCAGCTGTCAGTGGCAGAGATCACCAATGCCTGCTTCGAGCCTGCCAACCAGATGGTGAAGTGTGACCCCCGGCATGGCAAGTACATGGCCTGCTGTCTGCTGTACCGTGGAGATGTGGTGCCCAAGGATGTCAATGCCGCCATTGCTGCCATCAAGACAAAACGCAGCATCCAGTTCGTGGACTGGTGCCCCACGGGCTTCAAGGTTGGTATCAACTACCAGCCACCCACAGTGGTCCCTGGGGGCGACCTTGCCAAGGTGCAGCGTGCCGTGTGCATGCTGAGCAACACGACCGCCATCGCTGAGGCGTGGGCCCGCCTGGACCACAAGTTCGACCTGATGTATGCCAAGAGGGCTTTTGTACACTGGTATGTGGGAGAGGGCATGGAGGAGGGTGAGTTCTCAGAGGCCCGGGAGGATATGGCTGCTCTGGAGAAAGATTATGAAGAAGTGGGCATCGATTCCTATGAGGATGAGGATGAGGGAGAAGAATAGAACAGCTGCCTGGAGCCTGTTCTTTATGTCTATTGCAAAATCCTTTCAAAATAAACAGTGTCCTTGCACGGTTTCTTGTCCCTCTGTGAGTGCTTGAGCTTCTGCTGCTGCTGCCCTCACTAGATGCTGCTCATGACCCTCTTCCATCCCATGGCTATTGGTGAGACTTGCAAGGGGCCCTTGGCAGGCCCAGGCTGCAGGACCACAGGGACATGGATACGAGGTTCCAGGATAGGGAGGAAATGAGGGCCAAATCCTGGACCTCTCTGTCCAGCCACAAACTATTAAAGGATACAAGTCTTCAATTTTCAACTAGGAGTTTATGTCCAGTAGTTTCTGTATTGGAGTTTGGACTGCTACCCTATTTTCCTGCTGCCTGTACATACACCAACTCTGGAACAAGCCTTGGCCCAGGCTCTGCTGTGCACTGAGGGCTTGGGAATGGGGCTGGGCTGGCCTGAAGTTCCTGGGCACAGAGCCCTGTCATAAGCTTGGGGGATGGGAAAGGGCAGTCTCCTCGAGTTGTTTGTGCCATTGCACCTCTCAGCTTTGCATAGCTTACTGTCTGTCTTGCTGCTTTGCTGGGGCTGGGGCTGTGCCATTAAAAGTCAGATCGTCTCCCGTTTGAGCTTTTTGCCTCAGCCTCCTTGATAGCTGGTGGGACCTCCTCCTGGGCCCCTGGGGAAAACCTCAGCTTTGCTAATAGGCACCCTAGGACCCACGCTGACGTCAGCCTGGTTGGGCATGGTCTTCACTCTCAGGAGCAGGAGATACCAACCCTGCCCTTGCCACCCCTCCCTGGTGACTCAGGGACACAATGCCCTTCCCTGGGGAACATTCAAGGCCAGTAAAGCAGGGCCCCTGTTTACTCTGCAAAGCAGCCCGGAAGTAGCTGCTGGATACTGCCACACCACACTAGCCTCGTTAATTATTAATCATGTGGGAGCTAGAATACTCAGGGAGACACTGCCAAAATGGCTGCCAACCTCCCTCCCCCCAGGCCGAGGATGGGAGACTTGTTATGTAGCTGTCTCAAGCTTCCTCAGGTGTCTCCACCCAGAGGTCGGCCTGGCAAACCGGCTGAGCTGCTTTGGCTAAGCTACCCACCCCTGGGAGCAAAGGAAGGAAAGAGCTTGGGTATACTTTTAGGGGGCCTGGTCCCTGTTCTTGGCACAAGCTAAAGCTAGCTCAACAGAGTTTTTGAGTAAGACAAGCTACAACTGCTGGCAGCTAACTAGCCAGATCTTACACCTGCCTCCTGACAGACTATGCCAGTTCTTTTCCCAGGCTGTTACCTTGGGAATGGTAACCAGGCTTTGCCCCTTGTACCTCTTCACTCCCACTAGAGACAGTGAGACTAAGATCCACAGTAACCTGCTTTCACTTTATTCTCCTGCTCCCAGATTTGGAAGTTAACCATGATACAAGCCCAGCAGTCCAGCTCAGAGCCACGTACCACATTTTCTCACTTTCGCCCTGGTCCAGCCCGTCCGGGTCCTTGCCTGAGCAGTGGGGGTAAGAGCAGAAGGGGACTGAGAAACAGGATAGGGATAATAGTCCCCACCCTCTGTCCCCAACCATAAGAGCAATCCTAACAGAATGGGTAGAGCTCCGATGAGGGATGAGAGCCTCTTTCCAAAGCATGAAGGGCCATCCTCTCAAGGTGGCCTCTGGTTTCTTCAGATCTGGGTAGTGTGCTGGCCAGTAGTTGGGGGCTGCAGAGCCTCCAACTGGCTGAGGAGGAGAGGAATGTGAGGGCGCTTCTGGGGGTCCACCATCATCATGGAGGCCAGCAGCTGCCGCATTGCTGAAGAATGCCTGTGGAGGAAGGAGGGTAGGGTGAGTGAAGGCCGCCTCTGCTCCTTCCTAAGGCTGCAATCAGCTCATCCAAGGAAGAGTGTGAAACCCTAGGTGCCTCTTACTGCTCACCTGGAACTCTGGGGGATGATAAGTTGGTTCTGCACAGCAAGAGCCACACTGTCACCCTTCTGGAACACCATGTCATAAGGACCTTCCCCAAACATCATGGCATAAAGCACACAACCTAGGGACTGAGCAGAACTTGGTTAGTCCCTAGGAGGGGACCAAGAAAGATGACATCTCTCCCTTTATGTCTGTGATGAAATTAGACTACCAAAATAAGCCAACCTCCCCTAGGTGGGAGACAGCTGCCCCTCCCCCAGGGCCCAAGTAAACTGCCTGTTAGCTAGAGACCTCTGCAGCCCTTGCTTAGCTAATGCCTTAAGCAATGACACTGAGCTGTACCCATTCAGTTCAGTGGCAAGGATCACACCACTTCCTGAGCAACTGAATACAGTATCAGTGGCAGTTCTCAGGAAGGAAGTTGAGGGGTATGGGGACATACTGTGGTTCCTGGGGCCCCATGCAACAGAAACCGAAGGCCTATTCCCCTCCACACTAGGCATAGAGCTGCCCTGCTCCCCACCCTCGAGCTCCTCACCCAGACATCAGTCCGCTCATCGATGACACAATGGCTCTGCACAGTGAAGAGCTCTGGGGCACGGTAGGAGATGGTGCACCGCTGGGCTGCCCAGTCCTGGAACGGTGGCCCCAAAATGCAAAAGTGGGACACAAGCCACAGTCATGTGACCAAATTAGGGAATGCACTAGAAAGGAATTGGGAATGGGAACAGATGAGCAAAGAGGAACCTGGAGACTTTCTTACCTGCAGGGTCAGGGCCTGTCGGGAACCCTCCACATGGATACGTGCTTGATTCATGGAACCTAAGTCCATTAAGACTGGCTGCCCCTCATCTCCAAGCAAGATATTGGTGGGCTTCAAGTCCCTGGAGGGAAATGAAATGACTCATAAACATCCCAAGACAGGGCGGCTGGAATATCCCAGGGAGTGAAAGAATCATGGAAGCTTTCCTTGGGAGGAAGGCAGACAGACCTCCCCATTCTCTTGGGTGAGGCTCTTTCTCTTGGCCCTAGCAAGTATGCAGGGCCCTCCCACTGACCTGTGGGCATAACCTTTGGCGTGAATAGCTTCAAGGCCTCTGCAGATACCCAGCAGCAGCCAAAGGATTTGCTCCTCACTCAGGAAGTTGCCCTTGTCCTTCAGCCTTTCTATCTCACTCCACAGCGTGCCTTTCTGTAATACAAGTTTTTCCACATTGAGCTATTTCTGAATCCTGTTCCCTAGGCCTGACACTTACCCTGTGCCAAACCCCATCAACTCTTTTCACCACACACACCTCAAACCCCACAACCCCTCATGGACTCCTCTAAACCCCAAATCAAAACAGCCAGACCCACAACATGGCATCTGCTTCCTAACATGCTTGACTGCTCACACAGCCTTTGGTGGGTGGCTCTGTTGCAACCCCTTTCATAACCAGGAGACTTTCTGACCTTGTAGAAGGGTAGAAGCAGCCAGGCCTCATGCTTTGTGCCCCACTCTTTCAGACAGTAAGCCACAAGGTGAAGGATGTTGGGGTGATGGAAGAGGCGATGCATGTCTGCTTCTCGCTGGGCTTCCTCCTGGTCCTGCTGCTCATGACACAGGATTCGCTTCAGGGCGTAGAAGTGTCCATCATGTAACCCCTCCACTAGGTCCACATAGCTGAACCCACTGTGGGCCAAAGGGGTCAGTGAAGGACCATGACTATCTCCCACAAGGCTTGGAGTCAGAAATTCCTATACAGAGAGTGCTTATGGAATTAAGCAGAAACCCTCCCCAAGAAGTGGCTTGAAGTCTTTTTTTTTTTTTTTTTTTTCCCTAAGAGAAGTCTTAAGATTAGTTTGAGACCCTCAGGAGCAAGGACACAGAAATTATTGAAGTTCCGTGGTCTCAACAGTGCTCTGCACAACAAATGCTCAATAAATATTAAACATTTCTCAAATGCTTACGAACCAGACATTGAGACATTTTATATACATTACCTCATTTAATCACAATTCCATCAGTGACACATGATTATCATCTCCATGAAGCAGATGAAGAAACCATGTCTTACCAAGGTCCCTCTTAGGAGGGCTGGGTCCAGAATCCACTTTCTTAACCCATTCTGTAAGGTTCTGTCAGATGAGGTAGAGGATAGGGACAAGACCCTGGTGTCCCTATCATACACAGGCCATTGTCCCTTAGTGACCATGACCCTAGGAACCAGCTAAATGATTTCCAAACACTCACCCCTCCCCAAGTTTCTGGATGAACAGGTAACGCTTATTGTCAATAAGGACAGTTCCCCGAGAGCAGGCACACAGCGCGTGGCCCATAATGTCTCACGCATTCTCCTCAAGGACAATCTGTGGCTGCTGAGGGGTTCGTCCAGGGCAAGTGGGCTGTTCCAGGGGTGCGCTGGGGATCCAGCGGCTTATGCTGGGAAGAAAGCAACGGCGAGTCACGGGTCCGGCACAATCCAGATGGCCCCTGAAGTACCAACAGGGAGAGCTCAGGTTCAGATCTGAGAACTTACAGTCCTGTCTACAGAAAACCAGCTCTGGCGACGCCGGCTCTTAGAAGGCTGCGATCAGTTTCCTCAAAGCCTCAGGTCACGCTGCGACTAACAGGCCGCTTTCTTCCACCCCGGCCCACCTCTGAACGGGCCCGCTCCCACGTCTGTCAGACCTCAAAGTCAAGGCACAGGGCAGCTCCGGAGGCGGCTCGATGCTCGCGCCCACCTCTGGCAGAGAACACCCCACGCCTCGAGGTGCTCAGCGTAGGGTCCGCCTGCGGGCACAGCCCACTGACCTGGCTCCCATCGAAGCGACAACCCAGGGACCGGAAGCATTGGCTACGTCATCAGTCCGCGCCTGAGTAACGGCCCGACGTATCCTAGCAACTGCTGGGCGGCTGGAGGATGTGGAGTGTGAAGAAGCAGGGGGCGGGCTAGAGCTGGAGGTGGACTGGTCCCAGGATCCGAGTGTGAGGGTTCCCCACTTGGCCTTCAGTACGGGTCAAGACCCAGGCGCTTGAGGCAAAGGGGAGCAAAGCCGGGCCAGTGTTTCCCTATGTCGGAGGTAGGAAGCCTCCTACATTCTGCCTACTACAGTGCAGTCCAAAAGGGGTTGTAGGGAGGAACCGGGGCAGGCGGCCTGGACTTCGGGAGTGCAGACTGTGTCATCTTCAAAGTGCTGGCGTCAGTGCTTAAGAGTTTAGACTCTTGAACAATTTGCCAGTTTCTAAATGTGGTCCTAAGAACCTCCCACCCGTGTGACCTCCGGTAAGTTACTTAACATTTAAAATCTTCCACTTTTCCGAGCTATAAAACAGATATACTAGTATCTTTGGTTAAATGCATAAATCATAAGGCCAGACTGAGCCGGGTGAGCTGGCGCAAGGCTATGATCCCAGCACTCCAGAGGTTGAGTCAGGAGAGAACTGTGAGTTTGGGGTCAGCCTGGGCTGCACGGTAAGTTCAAGGCCAGACAGAACTGCAAAGCGAGACCCTGTCTCAAAAATATAAAATGAAATAAGGCCAAACTGACGAATTCCAAATCTGTTAAATAAGTTGTCACACTACTGGCTATTTAGTATTTTCATTCTTCAGTTTTCCTCTCTGTAAAATGAGAATGATTATTTCATGGAGTGGTTTGAAGATTAAATGAGTGTACAGTGCTTAGACGTTATCTGGCACTAATCCCTCAATAACTGCCAATAAAAGGAATACTAGTCATCACGTGTTACCTTGGTATCTAGACTGTGAAAGCAGGAGGGATGGACAGTCACAAGTCCTCAAGCCTTAGAACCAAGCAGTTGTTCTTGACATCTCTTGCTGAAATATAAAAGGATTAAACTGAAGGGTGAATCTCACAAAAAAAAAAAAAGATAGAATGGCCAGGTGCGCTATTTTGCTAAAACAGGGCTTTCCAAGGTCCTTCCTGTGACCAGACCCCCAGCTTCCACATCCATATCACCATGAATATTTTCTTTTTCTTTTTTGGGGGGGTGGGGCGGAACCGGGGATTGAACTCAGGCCCTTGTGCTTGCCAGGGAAGCACTTATTCCACTAAGCCATCTCCCCGGCCTACCATGAATATTTTCATACCAGCCTGGTTCTGAACTTATTTTAGCCCTTGGTTCTGACATAAAGCCATTTGGATCTCATCAGATATGTGCCAGATACTGTACTAAGTACAGCAGAATTCAAGCACAAAGCACGTCCCACCCTCAGGGAGCTCAGCCTAATAGCAATGATTCTCAATGTTGAATGTGCTTAGGCTTGTCTGGGAATCTGTAAAATTCAAATTCTGATTCTGTAGATCTGAAGTAGGACCTGAGCTACTGCATTTTTAACAAGCTCCCAGGGGCCGGGGAGATGGTTCAGTAGAATAAGTGCTTTCTTGGCAAGCACAAGGGTCTAACTTCAATCCCCAGTTCTGCCAAAACAAAAAACAAAAAGAAGAACAAGCTCCCAGGTCATACAGATAGAGCTGGGTGGCAAACTGCACTTTGAGTAGCAAGATGTAAAGTTTAAAAACAACTAAACTAGCTAATGGCTGCAGACTGGAAACAAAGTCCAGGCTAAGCACAGGACTTGAAGTGGTCTCTGCCCCTTGTTCACTGAGGCTCATTCCCAGGAACCTAACACTTGACGGTCGGACCCACGGCTCAGAGGAGGAGCCCTGAAAGGGCCATGGTTCGCAGTAAATCACCCTGCCTTCTCTCCTGGCTGCTGCCGCTCCTCATAATTCTGCTGCCTCAGGTATGATGAGAGGGCAGGCTGTGTTCCTTGGCTGGGTGCAGTTGAGATGAGAAAGTCATCCACCAAAGAGCCAGCCAAGCATCTCTTCTGCTCCTGGTGGACACAGACTCTTCACTACAGAGCACTGCTGAGCATAGGCTCTTCTCTTTGCTTTACAGGCAGACACTCGATCATTTGAAGTAGATTGGGAAGAGGACAGGTTTCTGTTGGACGGGGTCCCGTTCCGTTATGTGTCTGGCAGTCTACACTACTTTCGGGTACCGAGGGTGCTTTGGGCAGACCGGCTTTTTAAGATGCGCATGAGTGGCCTCAACGCTGTACAGCTGTAAGAAGTGCTCGTGAGGGCTTGAAGGGGGGAATTTACTCTTCCCACTGCTCCCCTAGGAAGTGGGGCAGGACTGGAAGACAGGCTCTAAAGAGGGATTAGAACTGCAAGGCCCTTGGGTAGGGGGTGGCAGCAAAAGGAGGGCCCAAACCTCCATCCAGCAGCTTCCTGGAGATTCCTTGTAAGATGTGAGGCCCTAGGGCCCTGCCTAGCATCTACCTACCTTGGGCCCTGTTAACCTCTTCCTTTCTTAGTTACGTGCCCTGGAACTACCATGAACCACAGCCTGGGGTTTATAACTTTAATGGCAGCCGCGACCTCCTTGCCTTTCTGAATGAGGCAGCTATTGCAAACCTGTTGGTCATACTGAGACCAGGACCTTATATCTGTGCAGAGTGGGAGATGGTAAGTTGGTTGGAGAAGGGGCTGAACCACAGCCACTCTCAGTGGTTTCTCTCTGTTTAAACTCCAGGGCCATTTCCAGTATTATACTCAGCTCTCTCCTTTCTTACCTCCTAATTGCACTCCCAAAACAACACAGCCTGTATGTTCCTCTGTGGTCTCTGTGTTTCAGGGAGGTCTTCCATCCTGGTTGCTTCGAAAACCTAAAATACATCTGAGAACCTCAGATCCAGGTAGGCTGAGACAAAGGCAAAGAAAAAAAAGCACACAATAGGGGGGCTGGGGAGATGGCTCAGTAGAATAAGCACTTGCCTGGCAAGCACGAGGGCCTGAGTTCAATCCCTGGTTCTGCAAAAAAAAAAAAAAAAAAAAAAAGTACACAATGAAAACATGGGTCATTTGAGTGCCCCAACCAGAAAATACCATCTTCAACTTTGAGATCATTCACTATTGTTTCCTTCTTGCCCAGCAGGGTGTTAGAAACTAGAACCAGACAAACCCAATCCCTGTACAATAGGCCTTATAATGGATGAGACAGATTTTTTTTGGTGAGGGAATTGAACTCAGGACCTTGCACTTGCCAGGCAGGTGCTTATGCTGCAGAGCTGTATCCCCAACCCAAGACAGGTTTTAAAACAAAACACTATTCCCAGTACTCTTCTAGGCTGAGGCAGGAGGATCTCAAGTTCAAGCACAAACTAGGCAACTTAATGAGACCTGTCAAAAAAAAAAATGAGGCACCCCTGTAATTCCAGAATTCCAGAGGCCAAGGTAGGTGGATTACTATGAGTTTTAGACTAGCCTGGGCTGCATAGTGAGTTCAAAGCAATGCCCTGTCTGAAAAAAAAAAAAAAAAAAAAAAGACAGAAAAAGAAAAGAGCTGGGGATGTAGCTAAGTATTAAGGTCCTGGATTCAATCTCCAGTGCCATGCACACAGACAAAAATTATAATCTATAAACATACTTTATAAAAAATACAGAAATCTCCACACTGATTTCCACAGTGGTTACACCAGTCTATACTCGCACACACAGAAAATTATATGAACAAGGAGTTAAGAGAGCTTCTTTTCAATAATGTAGTCAGAAAAGGCTTTTCTGAGAGGTGACATTTCAGAGACTTCTAGGGAAGAACAAGTGCTGGTTGGGAACATTTCAGCCCAGAGACAGGAAAGGACACAGCAGGATTTAGGGATGTAGCATCAAGGCTGGATAAGGGAGACCATAATATGAGGTCGGAGTTGAGGTAGACAAGTGGTATAGGCCACTGTGTGGAGTTTGTAATTTATACTGAACACAGTAGAAAGCCACTGAAAGTATTTAACCAGAGTGTGACATAACCTGATTTGTTTTACCCTCACTTTAGCCTGGAGAATGGACTGAGGGGCTCAAGGATGGAGAACTGAGACTATGACTGTAGCTGAGAACAGATATGACAGTGCCTGGAGCAAGGTGATAGCAAAAATGAAAGAGGCCAGAGTTGAGATATGGCTTGGAGATAAAAATCACCAGAACTTATTGATAGACTTTGATTGGAAGGTGAGAGGTGGGGTTTTATAAGAATAGAAAGGGCCAGAGGAAATAGAAAGGGATCTCTTTTCTGGCCAGTTCAGTTAGTGGTGATATTTACTGACATGGGGTAGAGGACACTTGGGGTACAGATGAACAACGGAGGGGGCTAGAGAGCATTATGCCCCTTGCAGCACTCCCAAACCCTGGCTATAAAGCATGACAGTGGTGGAGTATGACTGGAGCACTAACATGCAGTCTCAGTTTAGCTCAAGACAACCAGCAATCTTCATGTAAAATCCACGGGGACCTCTCAGGCCTCTTCTTCCTTGACTAGCCCAGCCCGTAGCACTCAGCACAGCTGGTTTGTTCCTCTGGAGGTTCTAGCAGGGTAGTGCAGCTACTCATATAGACTTGACTGAAGAGCTGTGTACTGTTCTCTGTTGGAAAGTCATTCTTGGATAAGCGTTTCCCTGGCAAGCACAAGGGCCTGAGTTCAATCCCCAGTTCTGCGAAAAAAAAGAAAAAGAAAGAAAGAAAGAAAGAAAGAAAGAAAGAAAGAAAGAAAGAAAGAAAGAAAAGAAAAGAAAAGAAAAGAAAAGAAAAGTCATTCTTTTCCACTGAGCACACAGCCGCAGGAGGGAACACAGGGAATGGTAAGGGAAGAAGGGGACATCTGCCAACCTGGCCAAGTCAACTTTGGTTATGAGTGTGGCGACAACATCCCAGTTAAATCAACCTCATCTGTTGCTTCTTTTTTTTTTTTTTTTTCTTCTTGAGAAAAGGTCTTGCTATGTATTTCAGGCTGGCTTTGAACTCACTGTGCAGCCCAGGCTAGCCTCAAACTTGCCTCAATCCTCCTGCCTCAGCTTCCTGAGTGCTGGGACTTAAAGGTATGCACCACTATTCCCAGCTACATCTTGTCTTTTGAGGTGGGTTCTTGTATCATCTACCATATTTTCTCTCTTAATCTCTGTTCCCTCTCTCCAGTCTTTCTGATCACTTGATCTCGGTGTCTGCCTGGCCCTTCTCTATTTTATTTTTAATCAGTATTCAGTCCCTGGATACTTCTCCCATCCATCACTGCCTAGATGATGTCAACCACTTGTGTGACAGAGTTAAAATCCACCTTATTAATAGCTAATGACCCTTAAACATGTAACTCTATGGCCAGGGCCTCTCCTATGGGTCCATTACATATGCTTAATCACCTGTGTGAGTTTTCCATTGGAACAAATAAAAGGCATAATGGTACGACAGAGCTGCTGGTATGCTCCCCCGCCCACAGCGATTCTGCTGTCTCTCCATCATAGGTAGTGCAAGTCCATTCTCCAGCTGATGCTGTGGTGTGATCCCTCCTGCCTTCCCTCACATTGCCTTCTATACATTAGAAAATCACATCAACTTTACCCCCAACAGCATCACACAGAACCACTATCACTTCTCTGCCGCCAGCTGCCTCTCAGCTTGCTAAGCCTAATAGCTTCCTAACTGGATTCCCTTGTTTACCCTCTCTCCCACGTAGTCTTCTCAATACAGCAGTCAGTGTGACAGTGTGATTCTGTTAAAATAGAAGTTTAATGTACATCTCAGATCATGTCATTTCTCTGCTTAAGCCTCCCCAGAAAGTTCTCATTTTATTCAGAATATGAACCATGGATTCCTTAATAATCTACCAGGCCCTGCAGGATCGGCCCGTTACCTCCCTGACATCTGCCCCCTTCCCCCTTTTTACTCTGCCCCAGCCTGTACCACAGGGGCTCCTGAGTGCTCTTCAAGCCCACTGGCCTCTGGCTTCAAAGCCTCTGCATGTGCTGATCCCTCGTGTCCCAGCAGAAATGACCTCACCCAGGCTCCCTGGCCACCTCTAAACTTTAAGGTCTCCACCATTTTATGTCTGCTCTGCCTCAGTTTTGGCACTGAAGACACCCTGTATTTCCCTATATTTACTTTCCTGTCTCCTTCTGTCACTAGGAAGGAAATTCCACAGGGGTAGAGGTCTTTATACCTAACACCTAGAACAGTTTTTGATGTATGGTCAGCATCTATAAATACTTATTGAATGAATCAATGCGATTTAAAATATGTTTGGATTACTGGGAAAGGGACTAAGAGATGGGAGGAGGGTGTCAGGCATAAAGAAGCTTAAGACATGCTCTGTACATGTCTTAAGGAAGAGCATGATCTGGTGAATGACTGCCCAGGAAGAGCATGATCATGGTGAACTAGAAACATACTAAGAAAACTAAAAATTTTTAAAATGTATGTTTGGGTTGAAAGCAATACAAGGTAGGTGTGGTACACTAAGTCCCAGCACTTAGGAGTCTTGAGAGGCCAGCTTGGGCTACATAGTGTATTTAAGGCCAGCCTGAAATACTACATAGCAAGACCCTGTCTCAAAAAATAAAATCTCGGGCTGGTGAGATGGCTCAGTGGTCTAAAGTACCTACTTACAACAAGCTTAGCAAAGCACAGGGACCGCGGTTCAATCCCCCAGCACCACATGCCAGCCAGCCCCGCCCCCTGGTGGGCTGAGCTAGCCACACACACATACACAAAAAAATTAAAAAATAAAAATAAAAAATAAAATAAAAACTCAAAAAATGGTTTAAAAATTGGAAAGTGTCTGCAGAGTGTCTTATTGACTCCACCTTTGAGAGTCTGCTGTCTGCTAAGTTTCCTCCTGAATGATGGAGGTGTGGCACAGGAGGCTTCCTGTTCACCAGTGGCAGACATGAGCCAGAAACATAGACAGGCACAGATGCTGGACTTTAATTTAAGTACCTAACAGAGAAGTGTGAGGTACTATGTGGGTGTATAAGACAGAAGGAGCTATCCTAGTCTGGGATATGAAAGGTTTTCTAGAGGAAATAAAATAGAAATTAAGAATTGACACACGAGTTGGAACTGGCTAAATACAGGCAGCTAGGAAGAAAATTATCAGAGGAAACAATATGCATGAAGAACGAGGGGAACCACGGAAATCTCAAGTAGGAGTTGAAGGTTTAAGGCATGATGCTTTAATTGCTGATGTAAACCACTTGGACTGTTAGTTCCTTCAGGTGCACGTCAGACACTACATATCTGTGCATTCTCATGGTGTATCACAGGTAAAAGTTGATTATAATAATAACTCTATTAGGTGTTTAACCTTTTTATTACGTGGGGTTTCTTTTGGGGGCAAGGCCAGAGTGTGAATCCAGGAAGCACTGAACTAGATCCCCAGCCCTTTTTATTCTGAGAGTCTCATAAAATGGCCCAGGTTGGCCTCAAACTTGCAATTTTCTTGCCTCAGCTGCCCGAGTAGCTGGGATTACAGACATGTACCACCATGTCCCATTCTTGTACTTTTAAGGAACATTAAGGTCCTATTTTCAAATTCCATTGATAGGCAAGTTTCTAAGTGTTCAGGGTTGAGAGTTTCTTCTAAGAGTCAGTGCTTTCCCGACTTAGTTATGGGCAAGTGGGGTGGAAGCAGCAGCCTCAAGTAAGAGCAGCACTGAAGTTGCTGCTGTACCAGGGATAGCAGGGTAGGGGATACAAAGGTTGCTGGGACCCCTAATGAGCATAGTGCTCCTCCTTCCTTCAGACTTTCTTGCCGCAGTGGACTCCTGGTTCAATGTCTTGCTGCCCAAGATCTATCCGTTTCTCTACCACAATGGGGGCAACATCATTAGCATTCAGGTACAAGTAGGAAGTTGACCGGGCAAGGAGGTGCTGGGCGGTTGCGGGGGAGGGTCCTTGTCCTTTTCTACCTCATGGCTAGGCTCTGTGTTCCATTTTCCCCCGGCAGGTGGAGAATGAATATGGTAGCTACAAGGCCTGTGACTTCAACTACATGAGACACCTGGCTGGACTCTTCCGTGCACTACTAGGAGATGAGATCTTGCTCTTCACCACAGATGGGCCGGAAGGACTCAAATGTGGTTCCCTCCCAGGACTCTATACCACCGTAGATTTTGGTCCAGGTCTCCTAAACAAGGGATAGGAGTGGAGCCCCAAGAAAGGGGAACTTTCCTCTCATAAAAATTTATCTTCTACCCTTGCCTCCTTACTACAGCTGACAACATGACCAAAATCTTTAGCCTGCTTCGGAAGTATGAACCCCGTGGGCCACTGGTGAGGGGCCAGAGAGCGAGGGAATCAAAGCAAGAGCCGGGATGGGAATGGCTTCAATTTGGTCCCCACCCACTCATGGCTCCTTCCATTTCACACCTTAGGTGAACTCTGAGTACTACACAGGCTGGCTGGATTACTGGGGCCACAATCACTCCACTCGGTCCATTCCAGCAGTGACCAAAGGACTAGAGAACATGCTCAAGTTGGGGGCCAGCGTGAACATGTAACTGGAGACACAATACAGATCTGTTACTTGGAGTTGGGGGTGAATGTTAAGATTCACGAGGTCAGCATTTACCTTTCCCCCTGCCTTCCCCCACTCCAGGTATATGTTCCATGGAGGAACCAACTTTGGATACTGGAATGGTGAGCACAGGTGACCCCTGAGGCAGGAGAGTAACAGAATTAGATCTAAGGGCTGGATTCATTAGCGTGTCTAGAGCTGAGCAGTGCTCTGGTGGTAAATTCTCTGCATGAAGTTCTTTGCTTAATGCATATCATCCAGAACACTTACTGAATTAATGAAATTGGTTCTACCCCAGGTGCTGATGAGAAGGGACGCTTCCTTCCAATTACTACCAGCTATGACTATGATGCACCCATATCTGAAGCAGGGGACCCCATGCCTAAGCTTTTTGCTCTTCGAAATGTCATCAGCAAGGTGCCCCCTTTTATTAATTTTGGAGAAGAGAGTGCCAAAATCATAAAGGGATTCCATAAATAGGTGGTGGCTGCCTGGGCCTGGGCCCTTTGTGCATCCCATGGGGGAGCAATTCCTATTCACTTAAGTGGGGCATATGGGGAGGTACACGGGTATGTGCAAAATTATATGGTCTTCATGATCCCTGAAACCCTTCCCTGAGCCTCAGGATAAGAAACTTGCTCCAAACCAGGGTTGGTAGCATATATATAATCTCAGCACTCTGGCAGGCTGAGACAGAAGGATCTCAACTTTGAGCCCAGCCTAGTAATTTAGCAAGACCTTGTCTCGAAAAATAAAGCCAGGAATTGGGACATACACCTGTAATTTCAGCAGTGTGGGAGCTGAGGTAAGCAGATTGTAAATTCAAGCCCAGCTAAACAGTCTAGTGATTTAGCAAGACCCTGTTTCAAATATTAAAAAAAAATAAAGGTGGGGGAGGCTGGGAGTATAGTTTAGTGTAAAGGCCCTGAGTTTAATTACCAGTACTACCATGAACCAATCAGTGATTGGGGATGTACCTTATTGTGTGGCCCTGTGTTCTCTCCCTAATACCACCAAAAAAGAATCTTGTCATAAAGGTTTGGAATAGAAGTGGTTTCTGTCATTTACCTATGGCTGCTGAGAACATTTGGGTTCAGTTTCAGGAAATTCCCCTGGGACCTTTACCTCCTCCCAGCCCCAAGATGGCACTTGGACCTTTGACCCTGCACCTGGTAAGTTTCTCTCCAGCTTTTCTGACACCCTGCCCTAGACCCAGAAACTTACTCTGATTATTGCCTCTTTATTCTAATAGGATGGAGATTTGCTGACTTTCCTAGATGCTCTCTGCCCCCAGGGACCTATCCATTCAGTCTTGCCAATGACCTTTGAGGCTGTTAAGCAGGTAAGGCAGAACTCTATCCAGGAGGGAAGGCAGCTTCCCAGAACAAATGCAGTATAGGTAGAAGCTCCTTCTAGCTACCAATCTTGACAGTGTCCTTTTTCCCCCCCATCCTTCCATACCTAGGACCGTGGTTTTGTGCTATACCGGACCTATCTGTCTTACACAGTTTTTGAACCAACACCATTCTGGGTGCCAAATAATGGAGTCCATGACCGTGCTTATGTGATGGTGGATGGGGTGAGAACGTAATTCCAGGCTACTTTATGAGCCTCAGTTTCCTCTCTTCCCCCAATACCATATGGTTTTGGGTTCTCCATCTTTACCCTTTCCCACCACTTTTCTCATATCTGTAGGGGGTCCAAGGTTATAAGTTGGAATGAGAATGAGTCTAATTAAGGAGAGTTCCAGAATGGATGGGTGATTGAAAGATGGCTACATTTTTCTTGTCCTCCAAATAACTGTTCTAATGTGGCTCCTTATACAGTAGCCAAGAGCTACAGCTAAGCCCTTCTTTTCAGAGATCTTATCTTTTATCCACAGGTGTTTCAGGGTATTCTGGAACGAAATATGAAACACAAACTATTCCTCATGGGAAAAATAGGAACCCAACTGGATATCTTGCTGGAGAACATGGGGAGGCTCAGTTTTGGGTCTAACCACAGTGACTTCAAGGTAAGCTACCTTTGCCTACACTTTTCTCCTATTATTCTTATGACTAGCTCCCTGGAAAGGATAGAGCCTTAAAGACCATAGCTGTGGCCTTAAGAGTTAAAAGAGGGAAATAATGACTTGTGGGTACCTGGATGTGGCTCACATTATATCTCAGAACTGGCTTAGGGCTAGTGTGGCCTTCAAGCTTAGTGAAGTGACCTTTCATTTGCCTTCCCACAGGGTCTCTTAGAACCACCAGTGCTGGGGCAAACAGTCCTTACCCAATGGATGATGTTCCCTCTGAAAATTGATAATCTTATAAAGTGGTGGTTTCCCCTCCAGAGGCAGAAAAGAGAACAGCCTACAGCTCCCTCTGGCCCTACTTTCTACTCCACAACTTTTCCAATCTTAGGTCAAGCTGGGGATACATTTCTCTATCTACCTGGATGGATTAAGGTATTGTTGATGGTTGTGGTTGGCAAGGGGAGGTGCTAATCAAGCAGAGAAAGGGAGCATCAGAAAAACAGAATGGGGCCATTCTATCTCCTGGAGAGCTGACTCCTTCGTTTCCCTACTCTCTCACTCTCCTCCAGGGCCAAGTCTGGATCAATGGGTTTAACTTGGGCCGGTACTGGACAAAGCGGGGCCCGCAACAGACCCTCTATGTGCCAAGACCCCTGCTGTTTCCTAAGGGAGCCATCAACAAAATCACATTGCTGGAGCTAGAAAATGTACCTTCTCAGCCCCGAATCCAGTTTTTAGACAAACCTATCCTCAATAGCACCTTGCATAGGGCATACACTTATTTTCTGTCAGATAATGCACACAGTGCATATGAACCAATGATGTTAAGTGGGCATTGAAAAAAGACCCCAGGACCTGAGACACAGAGTGGACAGCATCCTTTGGTGCTGGCCAGGGTAACCATAAGGCCAGAATACCTCTGCATTTAAGTACAATTGCATTTTCCTTGCCAAACTTTATTGTGATTAAAAGATCCAGGGTCAGTACCAACTCCACATACCTCCGTGGCCCTGTCTTTGCCCTGGTTCCTGTATGTTCTTTACCCTGCTTTTCCAGATACTGTCTGGAATCATGGGGAAGAAGAAAGCTAGGGCTGGTATAAATGTGTCCCTTCAAGCGGGCCCCAGGTGGAGCTGTAAAAGATCAGGCAGAGGGCCTTCCTGCCCTAGAGCGATGATCCCGCAGGCAACGGGTGGAGCAGAAGGAGAAGTCGAGGTAGTGAAATGGAACAAGGCCTTGGAGTGATGCTCCACAATTCCAGCAGCGTCTGAAGAAGAAACATAGCTGGACAGGTATCCCAGGTATCCCAATCCAAGCTGCCCCCAGCCCTCCAAGGTTCCCAAGTACTTCAGATCCCCTTAGCATCCCTGTTGGACACCAGGTTAGCACTCATTACACTGCCCCAAATGGTCCCTACAACATAATAGTCCATGTCTTCACCCAGCCCCTGGGCCCATACCGAACACTGGTGATCTCTGAGTCAGGGACTGGAGATGCAGGGACCCCCAGTTGGGCAGCAAGCCGGCGCTCTGCAGCCAGGGCTCTCTGAGAAACAGAAACAGAAACTGTTAGGTCCAAGGCCCCAATGAAGAATAGTTTACCCAAGAAGTGACAGCTGCCCTCTGGGAGGGAATGAGACCTCTATAAAGAAACCTTGGCCACTATGTTCTCTCTTGAAGGTTTTTGTTTTGTTTTTGGGTTGGTTTTTTTTTTTTTTTTTTTTTTGCAGAACCAGCGATTGAACTCAGGCCCTTGTGCTTGCCAGGCATGCATTTCTTCTACTGAGCATCTCCCCGGCTCCTTCTCTCTTGAATAGTGGCCCAACCTCCAGCTGTAGGGTGTACTTTTTTTCTTACTTTTACTTGGCCCAAACTTGCTCTGCAGAGCCTGTTTCTTTTTCTACCTTTAATATTTGCTACTGTTAGCTGGGCAAGCTGGCATATGTCTGTAATCCCAGCACATGAGGCTGAGACAGGATCATTGAAACCAGCCTGGGCTACAAAGTGAGCTCAAAGCTAGCCTCGATCACAGAGCGAGACCCTGTCTCAAAAAAGACACACACACACACACACACACACACACACACACACACACACACACAATTGCTACTGCCAAAGAAAGCAGCCCTCTGCAAAGCTTCACCTTCTCTCGGTCACTGAGGGCAGCAAATCGGCGCTGCTCTTCTCTTTCCTGTTCTTCCTGCTCCTGCTGCTTCCTTTGCTGCTTCTCTCGCTGCCGCCGGGCTGCCTTCTGCTCCTTCTTCCGTGTGGCCTGCTGTGCTTCCATTTCTGGGGTCAGTGGTCCTGGCACCTGGGGGATTTCAGGGGCTATTAGGTAGGATCCATACACATTACCCCTGGAAAAACTACATGTATCTATAGTGCCTCCCACTCTGCATCATCTTCCTTTTCCAGCAGACCTGAGCCTTGTTGTAATCATAGGCATCTGGATTCTTCCCCATGAACCTTCGGAACTCATTTCGTGTTGACTTGTCAGCTGCCACAGTGTAAGGTGGCCGGGCCTGGGAGTCCCTGGGTACAAAAACTCAAAAATGGGTTCAGTTTGCCATCCACCTTGCCCAACATTACCCAGTCATCAAAAGGGATACAAGTCATTGGCCAATGCCACCAAATTATCCTCTCCATACCCAAAATGTCCCAGGAGGGAGACCCTTACTTACTGCAATCCTCTCCATACCCAAAATGTCCCAGGAGGGAGACCATTACTTACTGCACAGTAGGATCAGCTCCTGCCTCCAGCAGTAGCCTAACCACTGAGCTTCTTCCAGCTGCAGCTGCTGCATGCAGAAGGGTAGAGCCACCAGTGCCCAAGGGGGCATTGAGTAGAGACATAACTTCAATATCTACAGCCCCAGCAGTTAGCTGGAGCTTCAGCTTTCCAATGTCTCCAGCTCGGCAAGCAGCTAGAAGCATATCCCAGAGCTCTGGCTGACCAGGGGCCTTTGCCTCATCCACTGAAACCACCTGGGCTGATTGAGCTGACAAAACAGGTTCATCTTCTTGGGGTTGCTGGTTAAGAGTCAAATGTGCCCCAACAGCATGGTCTCGTGTTTTCTCCTTATTCCTTTTCCTCCTCCTTTTGGGCAATACCTCAAACTCACGAAGATCCAGGGTCCCCAGTGTCAGCTCCACCAACTCCAACTCTACCAGGGACCCATCTTCGTCTTCTGACCCTGAACCTAGAGAAAGAAATCTGCTATGATAAATCTGTGACATAAGTAGACTGTGGGACAATGTGGGCTGCCTTTGATTGATCATGTCTATAGATTACAGACCATCTGTGGACACAGCCCTTAGCCCCCAACCACAGCATCCAACAAATAGTATGAGACTTATGCCATTCTTTCATTCATTCATCCATCCCTTTATTGGGTTTTTTGAGACAGGGTCTCACTGTATAGTTCAGGCTGGCCCTGTGCTCACTATGTAGCCCAGGCTGGCCTTGAACTTGCAGCAATCTTCTTGCCTCAGCCTCCCAAGTGCTGGGATTACCTGTGTGTGCCACCACGCCCAGCCCAGCCACACTTTCAAGCATCTATTCATTCCATGGTAGCACTTTTCTAAGCACTAATGATATGTCCCTGAACAAGAGAGCAATAGAAGATTTGGAAAAGTCACTAAACACATCCTAATAATTGCTATGATATATCCCATTTATAAGCAGACCCTGGAGTATTTATAAGTGTGTGTGTGTGTGTGTGTGTGTGTGTGTGTGTGTGGTATGAGGGCCCATTTATCAGTTGGGATACAGGTAAGTTATGAAAAAAGAAAATTTGCCACTGCATTTCCAGAACAGACACCCAGGCAGATTTGACAATTTTTAGATAATTGCTCTAACCCTGTTTAGGTGATTCCCCATTCTGTCCAGGCTCCTCATTTTCATTATGCGGGACTCTCTTTTTTTCTTCCTCAGTAGGCTTCTTCTTTTCCTTTCTCACTGTCTTCTGGTGTGCCTGAGGAGAGTGCAACCCGACTATTTCTGGAGAATTCTCTGCCATAAAACAAAAGATCATTCTTAAACTTCTCAAAGGAGAAGTCAGCTCAGGTTTCTCTCAGCAAAAACATAATCTGGGTGTGATGGCACATGCCTAATCCCAGTACTTGGGAGGTTGAGGCAGGAAGATTGCTGAGATTTGAGGCTAGTCTGGGTGACATAGTAAGCTGAAGGCCAGCCTGAACTACACAGCAGTACTGTCTCAAAACAAACAGAAAAGCCCAAAACCATAATCAGGCCTCAGGCTTTAGAACATGGGCTAGAAAGTCTGGAAATACACAAACAGACCCAATGTTTGAGCTACAGAGTACTCTGAGAGGCTCACCATAGACATGCAGGGTGGTCAGCTTATGGAACACGCGCTGGAGCTCTTGGAAGGTGGGTCTGCGGGTGGCAAGGGGGATATCCCAAAGTCGGGGATCCTCCCTTTGCAGGGGTGCCCCTTGGCCTCCAAAGAACAAGGAGCGACCAGAACGGGGGGCACGCAGCAGGATTGTCCTGGCGTCCTCCAGAGCTTCAGCCCAGCCTGGCCCTGTCAGGAGGTCACGAACATCCTAGAAAAGAAAATGGCATATATTCACTTGCTATTTTAAAAACTCTTATTAACCAGCTGGCCTGGTGGCACACACCTGCAATCCCAGAGCTCAGGAAGCTGAAGCAGGAGAATCACTACAAATTTGAGGCCAGCCTGGGATACATAGTTAAAGGCCAGCCCAAACTACATAGCAAGACCCTGTCTCAAAAAATAAAATACGATATGTAACCAAAAGCTGGCCCACAGATCATTTGCAGAGAGTTAGAGAATAACATGAAAAGAGAAAGCCTAGACATACTTATTCTACTTTGTCTACCAAGGAATAATGAAAATTGGAAGGATGAGTTCTACATCTCCCCACTGTAACAATGAGTTGAATCAGAAAAGTCCACATCTAGGAGGTCAAACTTACCTTATACAGTGTGGCTTCATTGTAACGCCTCAGGTTGGCTCCAGCAGAGCGAGATGGCCTGCCTTGGGCATCCCGAAGCCCCTGTGCTGTACCCCGCTTGGCCCGTACAGTGTAGCGGTGAAAGGTTTTATGTGTCACCACTTCTCTTCTGTAGAAGCACAGACTCAGTACTAGGAACAAGCAGGAGCTCCACAACTAACAGAACTCATGCTGTCCTCACCCCATGCAGCACCCTCTCACCCTTGAAAAATGGCACCAGCAAAGTGCCCAGCTGCAGCCATGAGCACCACACAATATCTGGGACCTCCGTTTTGCAAGCTCTGTAGGAGCAGTGTTGCCTCATCTGGGGGCAGCTATATGACAGACAAGAGCAGAAACATTCTATCTGTTGCACTCATTGAGAGCATGAAAGCAAAGGCAAACCTACATGCTGCATGTACATGAGCATTTATTACAACCACCCCCAAGCCTTGTTTCTTTTTTCTTTTTTTTGCCTTATTTCTATTTTACAAAGAAAGAAATCTGAGACTTGAAGAGATAGTGACAGAAGACCAAGAGGAAGAATTACAATTCAAATGGACAATGGTCTGTTTCTAAACTTAATTCCATTATACTTGATGCTTTCAAAATTTAGTCTAGTTTTAGTCTGAGACTATGTTGTCAAGTGTGATACCTACACCCAAAAGGAGGAAGGGAAGCAGTAAGACGTGGACTGGCAAAGGAGAAATGTGATCGAATTGTACAAAAAGCTGAGCTGACCACACAACTTGTGCTGTCACTTGCCTGGTGAGGACCTAGGACACAGCGGTAAGCATGAAGAAATTGGCCCTGGGCATTCTGAAAAAGAACCCGATGGGGGTAAAAGCCTTGGGGTCGGTTAGGCCTCTCACATTCAGCCCTCTCCTCAACCAGGGTCAGCAAATCCTCTTCACTGGCCGAGTCTGAGTCTTCTGATCCTGAGATGCTGGAAAGATCTCCTGAAGACAATAGGACACACAAATCTGGTACCCCATCTCTGACTTCTCCTCAAACTTTAGGGACTTCTACCCCAGTGCCCTGCTCCCACCAGAATCACCTGTGCAACTCTGCTTTTCAAAGTCCAGGGCAGACAGGAAAGGCTTGTCCTTGAGACGTTGCTTCAGATTAAAGCGATGCCAGTCAAGCTTATAATGTTCTCTCTGATAAAGAGGCAAAGAGGGAAGCAGAAGACAAAAATGTCCCAACCTGACCTTGTCTAGTAGTGAAAGCAACTCATAGAACTCCAGAAGTATGATCAGGTAACCCCAACTGCTTTAGACAAGCATTAATTAAGACAACGAATATCAGCCTCTTCCTACCCACATCATACCTTTCTTCTTAATAGCTACTCTCAGATGGCCTAGATGTTATACTCTGGGATTTACCTGTTCCTGGTGGTTCTGAAAGCCTTGGTTACAAGCTGAACAAAATAACTTCTCCGAAATATCCAGGGGACCCTGGAGTACTTTTCTTTCTGGGCTTGCTTTCTCCCCTGAACCTAAATAAGAAAGGACAATTGATTGTACAAAGGGATCAGTATCTGGAATTATTTCAGTGTCTGATAATACAAAGAAGTAGAAAGTAAAAAAAAAGGGCCTGCAAGTTAGCTCTGCTTAGGCCAGCTCAGGGACTGGGCAGAGTGGGCCCACCCCCAGGTGTGCTGAGCCCCACTGAGACCCGGTGTGGTGGTGCACACCTGTAATCCCAGCACTGGAGAGGCTGAGACAGGAGGATCACTATGAGTCTGAAATGCATAGTGATACCCTGTATCCAAAAATAAATAAGTAAAATTAAATAATTGTAAATAAAATATTGTATTTAAGTTAGCCAAAAAGATTGTTTAAATGAATACTGCAGAAAATAACTTACAGTAAGGTTAAATTTCTTTTTCTTTTCTCTCTCATTCCCTTCTGGTGCAGGAGACTGAACCCAGGGTCTCATGCATGCTAAGCAACTGCCCTACCACTCAGCTATATCCCCAATCCCCAAATAATTTTTTATACTTTATTTATTTTCATTTTATTTCCACATTATTTCATTAAGCACTATATAACACACTATATGCTACATAATACATTGCAGAACTTCTAACAAAAGTAACTTAGCAGTGCAAGTGCTTGCTTGGCAAGCCCAAGGTCCGGAGTTTCATCCCTGGACCCAAATGTTGCTGCCCAGAACCAGGCATGGTGATACATGCCTGTAATCCCAGCACTTGGAGGTTAAGACAGGAGGATCACTATGAGTTTGAGATGGGGGGGGGGGTTACAAGAGTGAGCACAAGGCCAACCTGAACTGCATAGTGAGACCCTGTCTCAAAAATAAATAACCATAGGTGAATTTTTTCATCAATTGAGAAAACATTACTTTAACAAACCCTCTGACATTGTTAACAATTAATTCTAGAGATCTCTTGCCAGCAAACTCCACTAATATAGAGGAGTGTGAGAAAGCCTTCTTTTCCTTCTCTTCATTAGTGAACTTGCAGATACACCTACCAAGTAGCCACTGCCAAGATGAGCAAACACGATCCCCTGAAGTCAAGTCCAGGGGACAATTTCAAACCACATCTTCACTTAGTTACCAAAACCAAACTCTACTTCCAGGTCCTTGAAAGGTGTGTTGTGTTCAGCTCCTTTCCCAGTAAACCATAAAATTATTTTATCATTATAGCTTTTGCAGTGCTGAGGATCCAGTCCAAAGATATGGAATCACTTTACTACTGAGTTACACCCTCACCTCTTTATTTTAATTGTACAATCTACTTCCTAAATGTCATTTTATTTTATTTTTTATGCATTTAGTACAGGGTCTACAGGGTCTCACTACATAGATGAGATTTGTAGTGATCCTCCTGTTTTCAGCCTTCCAAGTGCTGGGATTACAGGCACACGCCACCATGCCCAGTCTCAATCATCAGGGTCATTGTGGCCCAGGGGTGG